TGTATAAATTGTTTTTCATTTTCATCATTGTCCTTTTCACTTCTTTTCTTTTGAAAATTTAAGCACATGAAAAGAAAAATCACCCATTTTTTATGAAATTAAATTTAAAATTTAACACGAAAGATATTCAATAATTCAAGATTACCCGCAAGCTTTTTTTTGTGTGTAATAATTTAATAATAAGTTGTCTTAGTAGTCACGCTTGAATGAAGTCATATGTTTGAACTTAGCATTGATGTGCTTATATTTATACACGTATGTTTAATTTTATAAAATTAAAAAAAAAAGGTTAATAAGGTTGATATACTTTTGATGTTTAGTCTTTTAGTCCTTTTTCTTAAAAAATAATTTTTTTAACCCTTCAAATTAGATATCAATCTTTTTGGTCCTTGAGCTCAAGAGAGAATAAGATCATACAATGCAATCATTTAGGACTTTTTTAGTATGATGGAAGATTTTTTTTTGGGAAGGAATAAGAACATGAATGGAAATCAGAATTGGAATAGAATCTACATAATCCATAAAAATAGGTAGGCAGAGCTGAATCAAATGCATCATGCAATTCTAGAGTGCCATGTTAGATTCAACTATTTCGGAGAGGCTGCCACACAAAAGCATATAAAACCTTTTAGGGTTTTTTTTTTTTGGAAATACTACAACACAGAAATTCAATCCCTAATTTCGCTCCTTCAGTTTTTCAAATTCAAAATCCACCTTATCACCGCTCGTAATATTAATTAATATAAACTTCCTTCCAAGATACAAACACTTACATCTCCAAGATACATCCTTGTCTGTACTAGGCTTTGTTCACTTTTTTTTATTCGTTAAAGAAAATTTACTATCGAGAAAGGAATCCATATACCCATCATACACAACCCGTAATTTAACAACACGGGATACATAATTCACAACCTCCCAGAGAGGTGCGGGGTGTCACGTGAGCTATAAATTCTTCGCCATAAACTTTGTTTACTAACGTCATGTGTAACTCAACACCATACAAAGTGTGTATACGAACATGCATATATGACAAAGTGTGCATATAAATATGCATATATGTCAAGATGCACACGGCATTTATTCTATTGCTTACAATGCAGATTTAAAAAAAAAAAAAAAGGGAAAATGACACATAAAGAAGCCTGAAATAATAAAATGCCAAAATGGGAAGCTAAGCAAATGTATTACCAGATAGGGAAGTGTTGCCTGATTTGGGATTATGCAAATGTTGCATAATTACGAAACAGCCCCTCATATGCAAACAGAAAAAGTGACCGGTGGAAGTGTGCAAGTTGTGGCGGGAGCTGGAGGAAAAACTTGGGAGGGACCATGAACGTGGGAGCATGAACGCGCGAAGCAACAACTGAACGACGGAAGCGAGGTTAGTATTCAGTGACTATATTGTTGGCCTTTGTCTTTTGTCCCTCTCCTTTATGCGCCGGTTGATTTTCCTCTTCCCGTTGGATGGCAATGTCGTCGATGTGGGGATGGTTTTGAGGTGGAGAGGGTGGCGAAGCATGGAGACGGCGTGGGTATATAGAAAGTGTGGGGAAGGACGGTGATCAGAGGGTGAATGCACGGGGAAGGAAAAACACTGAGGGAGAGGGGTTTGATGGTGTCACAAGTGGGTTAGAGTGATTAGTGTCAGATAAAGGGACAATGTTAGAGGGAGATTCGAATAATGGAGTGGATTGATTCTGAGAAAATGAAGCATTAGTGTGGACAGGAAAGAAATGAGTGTTTTGTTGCAAATTATAAGCATGAATGTGTCAAACCCTAAGTTGGTCGTGTAAGTTGATGATGATGGTATTAAGTCATATAATCATTCGACTTCTGTTATCAGTGCAGGTAATGAAGATAAATGAATTTTGAAGCTAGGTCATCTTGTGGGAAGGAGCTGTTCTGTTATTTTCATGTGGGGGGGAAATTTGTGACAAATGGTGAAGGTGAAGTGAGATATAATGGAGGTGGCGTGAGGTTAAGAAGCATTAAGGATGGGCTGACACTTGATGAATTGAGGCTAATGATATCTGAGTGGATTGGTGGTGATGGAAGAAATTATGACATTAAGTACACAGTGGCCTTTGATGAGAAGACATTGATTGACCTTCATGACAATGCTGAAATGTATAACCTCTTTCAATACAATGGGAACAGCGATCATGTGTATGTGGCCAAAAAAAGACAAGTGGGTCCCCAACCAAAGGACAATGTAGAAATGTAAGTGGAAGTTTGTCCTAACTATTTGTTATCATTTATGAATTTCTTCTTGTCATTTGTGTTAACGAGTCTTGTCATTATGAATGCAGAACAGAGAGATTCATGGGCATGTCACAGCAAACGGAACTGGATGCGTCTCCTATTAGTTTGTGTTGTGATTATGGCTGGCTTAGTGAAGAAAATGCTCGTGAATGTGACAATGATGAAATAAGTGGGCCCCCTAATGTGGATAAATCTATCGAAGCTGAAGATACGGATGGTAGTGAGATGGTTCATGCGGAATGGAGGGGACTTTTAACAGGAGTGGGCCAACGTTTTCCTAGTGCAGATGTATTTCGGGTGTCTGTATACAAGTTTGCACTTGCAAACAAGTTTGTGGCCAAGTATATGAGGAATAGCAAGGAATTCATGTCGATGAGGTGTAAAGTTGAGGGTTGTCCATGGAAGCTATGTGCAAATCATGTGGGGAAGAGTTGTGATGTGCTACGAGTGACAACATTTATAAACCGGCATGTTCATTCTGCCCAAGATAGCTTGGACGTGATGCATTATGGAAGAGTTAGTTTGAACTCATCAATAATAATTGATGAGATGAGGGATCATGCAGACAAGCGCACTTCTGAGATAAGGAAGAGGTTGAAACGAGAGTATAGGATTGATCTAACATATAAACAGGCTTATAGAGCAAGAGAGAAGTCATTGGAAGACATATATGGCAGGCCTGAACAATCATACATGCTCATACCATGGGTATGCGAAAGGATAAAGGAAACATATGAAAAATCAGTGGTTGAATGGACTGCTATTGGGAACCGGTTTGAGCGTGTTTTCATTGCCTACGGGGCATGCATTGAGGGTTTCTTGGGTGGCGTGAGGCATATTATGTATGTTGATGGAACTCACTTAAGCGGACCATACAAGGGGACAATGTTGTCAGCTTCAACTTATGATGCAGATAACGAGCTGCTGCCGTTTGCAATTGCAATTGTGAAGGGAGAAATACTAGATGACTGGACGTGGTTTTTCTATATGATAAAAAAAATCCTGGGTTCTGTGGAAGTAACGATTGTATCAGATCGACACAATGCTATCATCGGAGGAGTGGCATCAATCTTTGGGGGTCAAAGGCATGCTTTTGTTATAGACACATCAAGGAGAATTTTAGTTCAGAAGTTATGAAAATGAATAAGGGGCAAACAAGGACAAATGGCCGATCAAAGGAGGATGCACTATATTTATTGGATAAAATTGCATACGCAAGGACGGATGAGAAATTTGAGGCAGCAATGGATGACATGAGATCCTTTTCTCCAAGGCTATTTGATTGGCTTATTCATCATGGGGATGTAGATAGGTGGGCTAAAAGCAGGTTCCCATATAAAAGATGGAACAATATTACAAGTAATATAGCAGAATCATTCAATGCATGGATGGTGAATGAGAGAAAGCATACTGTACCCCAATTGATCTATGAGCACCGAGATAAAGTTGCAAGAAAGTTGCATGCCTCTATGTGGCTATGACCAAATGGAAGAATTGCGTTGGTCCAAATATAGAGAGTAAGGTGCTGGATATGGTGGCTGGGTCTGACCATATTTATGCTGAAAATTATGGTGGGGGAAGAGTGAAGGTGACAACATCACGTGGAGACCATCGGGTTGATCTTGGACTACACCAATGCAGTTGCAGATCTTGGCAAATGATGGGGATCCCTTGTTCCCATGCTTGTGCTGCCATCAAGATTGTGCACGGCAATGTTTATGATTATATTGATAATTGCTATAAAAAGTCATCACAAGAAAAGATTTATGCTCGCAGTATGATTCTTGTGGTAACAACAGACATGCCTCACCCAAATAACTACTATAGAATAGAAAATGTCAGTGAGCAAGTTTTCTTGCTACCTCCCATGACATCCCGACCACCAGGAAGGCCAAAAGTAAACAGGGATGAATCACAGTTCCACAACAAACGGATATACCACTATGGAAGATGCCACCCTGGACACACAAGGAGGAATTGCAGAAATCCTAACCCATCATGAAGTTTCGAGTACAGTGGGGATGGGTCATTTTTTGTGTACATAGTTGTATGCTCCGCCCTTGTCAACTTTTTTGGGACTGGGGTTATAGTTAGGAGCTAGGTGGAGACATTTTTTTGTAAGTAAGCTGATAGAAATTTCAGTGATAAGGGAGCATTAAGTGTGGCTAGTATCTTAATGTCCACTTGTTGTTGAATACATGAAAGGAAGTTACTGTTATGGGGATGTTAGCTTTTGTTAATGGCGCATTACTTGTTATCATTTTTAAATTTGTTCTGGTTATTGGCAGTGATGCTATCAGCATAAGCTGACAGCCGTGTTGAACTGATGTTGTAAAATCAGACCAGGTTATCCTTATCATTATCGTTGTCATATTCGCTTCACTTGGTGTCATTTTTAAATTTGTTCTGGTCATTGGCAGTGATGCTATCAGCATAAGCTGACAGCCGTGTTGAACTGATGTTGTAAAATCAGACCAGGTTATCCTTATCATTATCGCTGTTATATTCACTTCACTTGGTGTCATTTTCTGTTGGATACCAACAGGATATATTGAAGTAAAATTTAGTGACCTAAACAAAAAATGAAAACCAATAGCACATGTCCAATGGGGTTGTTGTCATCATTTGTTTTGGTGTGGTTAAACCCAGATTCATTCATGTCACTGGGGAATAAATTGGCATCATGGATCTCAACTATCATACATTTATGGACACCAATCTCTGTTAACCATAACAATACACAGTAAATTTTTGGTCAGCCTACAATGCACATTACATACAGCAATCTAACAGAGGACAAGTGAATTATGACCCTAACATCGAGACACCTAAGACCGACGCCTTTTCTTGGACTTTGTGCTCTTGGTTGGTTGTGGTCGTCGAATAAGGGCCAATGCCTCGTCACGTTTTTCATTCTGTTCATGATTCACCAACCACCATGTCAGGTCACGACGAAAGCCAGCAACTTCTTCCTCTGTGTAGGTAAGGGTCACACCAGGTTCCCATCTTCTCAGCCACATCATGCAGTGCACCCCACAATCCCTCCTGTGGACGCAACAATATCAGCACAGTTAGTTAACACATCTGACATGTGCATTCACCACACAAAAATCGAATTTGACAAAACTGACAGGTTATTCTGCTGGGGAACTTCTGCAAATATCATGGGAGACATTGGCTTTTTCCCAACCAATCCTGGCTTGACCAAGTCCAGTATAATATTGAACCTCATCCTCTGCAACAAGATTCAGGACCAACATAGAAAGTTTAATGATTTTCCAAGTTCAAAAACTAGGGTAAAGATAATGAGTTTTTTCTTACACAGTCATCCACAGCCATTTCCACTGGGTCTTTGATGACAACCTTCTTCTTCTGCTTTCTGTCCTTGGTTCCAAAATGGTTCCTCATGGAGTCTATTACGTGGAAATCCAATGTGCTAAGCTGAATGGCAACACAAAACCAGTGTTGGCCAACAAGAGCCAGACCAATTATGAAATCACATTCAGCTAAGTTGTAGCCAAGGAACTCAGGAAGAAAGAGCTTCTTATATTTTTGGGCTTTCCAGGTTGGATCATGTGCCATCATGTTCTGCATGACATGAAATTGTTAATCCATTAACAGAGAACAAGTCATTTCCAATTCAATTGCTGTCATTGGTATTTGCATTTGGAATTATGCAACCTCACCATGAAATCAACATCGAAAATGTGCCTCTTCCCTGGCCCCAACTCTGCCTTCATGTCCTCCATCACTGCCTTGCACACCAAATTAAATACCTACAGAACACAAGTGAAAACGTCATTCTGATACAATAATCTCACCAAACATTATCAAACATAATCATGGGTGCAGGGACAGAGCATTCTAAAATACCCTGTTATTTACTCTGTTCACTCCACCCAGGGAAAACAGCTGTTGTCGGTCTATATCTTCATCAAACATTTTGATGACAGTCCTGCAAACATTGTCAGATGTCAGTGACAGAAAGTATGGTGTTGGGGACATCAATACTTGTCATCCCCATGTATTTTATTGTCATTTTCAATTCTATTGCTGTCATTGTCAGGGCACACTGTGTCATTTAAAAACAAAACGCTAGCTAGGGATATACGTACATATTCCCCTCTTCCTCTCCCTTGGGTCTACGGGATATTAAAGTGAAAAAGATGTCCATTTCCTCCTTTGGCCTCTTCGTCCTCGGAGCTGCCTTGAATTCTATCCACGGAGATTTAATTGTGGAACTCTTTGCCCTTGTTGACCTCCTAAGGTCAATCGATTTTTCAGGCCCTCCTTCCTCCCCACTATCACTGCTCACCCATTCGCGATCCAACAGCAAAGGAACATTGGTAGGGGTCATTGTCAGTACATGTGTATCTTCCTCACCCTCATCATCTGAATCCCGAACCTCCTTATCATCATCTTCGGCCTCCCAACCACATAATCATGACTGACTTCCATGTCATCATGGTCATCTTCCTCCTCATCAACCACATGACCTCCTTCCCTGTCATCATGGTCATCTTCCTCCTCATCCTCATCGTCGTCATCATCACCTCCATGACCATCACAGTCACCCTCTTCTTCCACCTCCTCAACCATGTAATCATCACTGACTTCCCTGTCATGAAGGTCATGTTGTTCTTCATCCTCATCCTCATCCTCATCCTTCTCATCATCTCCTTTGCTGGTTTCATCCTCATCAAGTTCCTCATCTGCACTTCCCGCTGCAACCTCTCTTGCAATCTCCTCCACCACTCGGTCAACATCATCAGCTTCTTCAGCATCGTTACCAGCTGCATCACCAACTGTTTCAACCCCTTCTTTAGCAGTGGCATTCTCATTCCCCATCCCCTTAACTTTGGCGTTCAATCCAATCTGCAGTTTGAGTAGCTCATCATCAAGAGCCTTATTAACGTCCTCTGGCTTTCTTCAAGCTTCTTCACAAAACGAGCCCTCAACTCCTTCAATGCCTGCATACACAGTAAATGAAGATATCAAAAAAATTGTTCACTGTTATTGAATGCCAGTATCTCACTGGTCATTTGTAAATAAAGTCTTGTCATCTCAAGTATCAACCTTGCTAATAGACTGACTTAAACTCAGGTCACGTATATTTTCTAAGTTCCCACATACCGGATCTAAAGACTGCAAAATTGGACTATCCTCATGTCCTGCTGAGTATACCTCGCTGCCACTGCTTCCATGCAATATTCCCATGCTGCTACCTCTCTCTTTCTCCACCCTCTCCTTTATCTTCTCCTCGGTCCAATATTCAATGGCGCTTGTTGAACCCCGGTCAACAGACAATCCCAGCGGGAAACGCTCAGCAAAATACAGCTGCAAAACCAAATAAAGATAGGTCACACTTCTGCAACAATAACATAAAACAAAAATATAGTGAACCATAAGAAAAATATTGACTTACCAGCAGCAAATAAAGACACCCTCCAACATTGCAGGTTCCTTTCTTCTTCTTCTTTGTCATCTTCACAAAGTCTCCCATTTCCTTCCACAGGTTCTTGATTATGTACGTTGACCAATCATATTTCCCAAACCCATCCATCGTGTGACGCATCACTTTCAACAAACGTATATGTACAGTTGTGCTTGACCCAGGACATAAAAAGCTCCAACTGTATAAAGCATAAATAGGAACTCAAAATTGTCGCTTTCTTCCCCAGATAATATCCTCTTCAGTATTGGGTAAATGGAACCTTCCAATAAGTGTCCTTCAACCTCTTGTATTCGGGTCATCCTCACTAACATCATATTTCACTTCCTCCCCACTGTCAGGTACACCTAGAAACTCATGGGCATCTTTTGCCTCAATTGCCTGCCCTTGCCCTCTAATGGTCAAAAAATGCGTTGGTGGGTCATAGCATCTCAACAATGACACAAGTAGATCACGTGGAAGTTGCTTCACATTCACATTAAGCAAGTTCCCAAATCCCATCCTCTGAACTTTCTGCCTTAACCGCCTGTTCTTCTTCACATATTCAGCCAATGATAGAAATCCGGGCAATGAGCACCGGGTGTACAAGGGAACATCATACTTCTTCTTCTCACCTTTCTGTGGCTTCGTTTTCCTTGCCCTCTCATTATACCTATCTTTCTCTTCTTCACTCAGGGCCCTCCATGCCTTCCCCACTTCAATTTTTTCTTCTCTTGCGTTTTTACACTTCTCACCTCGTTTTGCCATATACTCCCTTCTGAACAACACAAGCCCACTGTGGACTCCTTTGCTTGTGGACCCTTCCCCTTCTTCCAACACCATCTCGTATAGTTCTGCAAAGTCATCAAGGTACCATCATTAAATCATAATTTTTATACATACTACATATCTAGTTCTTTCCAGATTCGTTATGGTCATTTCCAATTCCTTCATTGTCATTTACAATATGGCCATTACAGAGTGACAGTAAGGATGCTGCTATGAATATGGTCGTTTCCAATTAATTTATTGTCATTACCAATATGCCCATTACAGACTAACAGTTAGGTCATTACTATGAATATGGTCATTTCCAATTAATTCATTGTCATTTACAATATGGCCATTACATTGTGACAGTAAGGATGCTGCTATGAATATGGTCGTTTCCAGTTAATTTATTGTCATTACCAATATGCCCATTACAACTAATAGTTAGGTCATTACTATGAATATGGTCATTTCCAATTAATTCATTGTCATTACCAACATGGCCATTACAGTCTGACAGTAAGGTCATTACTATGAATATGGTCATTTCAAGTTCCTTCATAGTCATTTACCAGTTTGGTATTGTCATTTCTAGTTTATTCATATAATCTTTCCACTCATTCAGACAGTAAGGTCATTACTATGAATATGGTCATTTTAGGTTCGATCATAGTTATTTACCAGTATGTTATTGTCATTTCCAGTTGTTCATATAATTTTTCCAGTCAATCAGACAATTTTCCTACTGATTTCAAAACCCATTTTTCCAGTTCTCAACTACGTTATTAAAAACAGAATAGCTTGCCACAGAGACTCAGCATAAACCCTTAATCGCCATTCCTGTCATTCACAAACTTCATCGCGTCATATCTAAATATTGCCCAATCATTGCTTCCTAGACTCACTGAAATGTTGTTGATGCTTGTTAACTGCAATGGTGAATCACCGTGCGCCAACCTTCGTCTTTCCACATAATCAGTCAGACGCGACCACGTTCGCCCTTCGAACAGCACACCCTTCCACTTCCAACTCCTCTGCTCTCTTACGCACACACTATTTCGGGGTCCTCAACTGTCCAGCTTGCCGACATTTTTAGGGCAACAATGGGGATGGTGAAAGCAAGAAACCGAGAAGCACGACGGGCAGTGCACGAGTGTTCGCGCCTTCTCTCTCTCCGCTTTCAAACGCTGACTGACAGGGGCTGTTTCGTAATTATGCAACATTTGCATAATCCCAAATCAAGCAACACTTCCCTATCTGGTAATACATTTGCTTAGCTTCCCATTTTGGTATTTTATTATTTCAGGCTTCTTTATGTGTCATTTTTCCAAAAAAAAAAATGCATTTAGCACATTATAAATGTAGGAGCATGTGTTAATAGCCCTCAATATGTGAGAACCACTTTCAGTACTTATTATAGTTATGAACATCTTGATACTCATTTAAATATAGTTTTGACGACCACCTTGTTTTCTAACTCGCCAGTAGTAGGATTTTGATCATCTAATGTCTCCTTACCAGGATTTGAGGAGGCAAGCAATGCAATAGCTTGGGGGCTAAATGCTGCTTCTTCCTCTTTCTTTTTCACAGCTAGTCTCCCAGCTCTTTCTAATGATTTATGAAGATCATCATCATCATCTGCAACAACTGGAGTTTCATCTTTCTTAGTTTTAACATTTAGTGTTTGTTCTAGACACAACAGTTTGGAAGCTTCATCTGCTTTAGCATATGCAGACAGACAAGCATCATTTCTCTTTTCAGCCTCCAGTCTCTCTTGCGCTTCCTTGATGGCCTGCCTCTTGGCATCATTCCGAGAACCAAGATCACCAACACTTAATCCCGCAGAGACAGCTTCAGCTTCAAGGGCCTTGAGGTCTAGCTGACAGCTTCAGCTTCAAGGGCCTGGAGGTCTAGCTTCTCTTTCTTCCGCAGGGATTTGTTGTTCTTGGGCTTCTTAAATTGAAGCGTTTCTTCATGAGAATAGTAATCCGATGTTACCCTTCCAGATGAATTTAGATCTTCAAAGGAGTTTGTGGAGACGCCTGTTAACCTTCTTTGGAGCTGTCAATAGGATAAACAAACACAAGAATGAAGCGTTCATATCAAAGCTAAGTAACAAAGTTCCAAGGAAAATAACAGCAAGAAAAGAAGACAGAAGTCACAAA